ACAATTACTGTGCTTACTCTTTGCTCTAATCCTAAACTATCAATTGGCAAACACAGTCAGGACTGTGATAACTTTGCAGAACTTTTTCTAGGGAAGGTTATGAAGTGGCCATGATTTGTTACTCAGGAGCCTTTTCTGGATTCCACTAAACTTCATTTCTCTGTGAAAAAATAACTATTTTGCCTTTTGCAAAGGGTGAACTGAAATCAAATATAAATATATTCCACAACATCATAAAATAGCAAGGACTTTCTGATTGCTGGAATTTAGCTCCTAAGTGGTCTGTGTAATTTAGGTGGTCCACTGGTTTTTCCCTTTGCCCCATGTGGAGCAATATTTAGTTCACTGCCACTCAGCAGACAGAATTCACACAAATGGATGGCATTATCAGATCAGGGTGCTGATTTGCTTCATTATTTTAACAGTGGTTAATTTTCCCTTCCATTTCCCCTTGCCATGACCCCCAGAAGAGTCTCTGAGCCCAAAAGATTATTTTGTTTTTCTTTCTGTATTAGCTGGTTAAGTAAAAGATATTGTCTTCTTGCAAATCTCCCTTCCTATTTCTTAAACCATCATGGCTCAACAGAATGTTAATATTATATCTTTATTTTGATTTTAGGTAGTCTCTACTTTGAAGCTCATTCATTAATATTTCAGCTTTTGCTCCCTGTGTAATAAAGGATATTCTTTTGTTGTTGCTGTCTTGCTTTTTTGAGTCATTGGCCTGTGATCAGGGAATGAAAATTGTGTTGTTCTTCCTATTGATTTCCTTTCTGTGCTGCTTTTGAGACTTGGTCTCTGTCCTTGGATTGTGAGAGGGTTAGAGCAGCAGTAGGGTGAGGTTTGTTGGGCTTAATTTTCTCTCTTCTGGGAATTTCATATGTTTGTGTGGATGGTTTTTTTTCTGTTTAGAGGGTCACCTTTAATGTCTCTTTACACTATCCATGGGTAAAGATTTTTCCAATAAAGTTGGTGTGTCACCTGCATTTTTACATGGGTCCTATTGGTTTGAAGAGGTGTATTGTGCTACAGGTACTCTGGAGAGCTTTTCTATTATTTTGTCCATTCTGCAGATTAATGAGACAAAAAAGTTTCCCCCATCTGATACTGAAATGCAGCACTGAAATCTAACTGAAAAGCCAACATTTTGATTCCTGTTGATCATTCCTAGAAGCTTAAAATATCATTTCTCAAGCATTCACCTTGTGTGAATCTCTTACTGAGTGGCATCAAGCAGTCTATTATCTGCTTAATCTAAATAGGCATCAATTAGGGAATTGTTTAAATTCTGTAGGCTGGCCACCAGGGTTCATAGGCGAAGATGTGGCTCACCAGATAATAGGAAAAGTTTGAACTGGATCTTAGGTAGTGGAATATGAACAATCGCTCTTGAGTGTGGTAGGCGATAAAAAAATAACCAAATACCTAAAAACCCCCAAATGGTGGTTAACATGAAGTGAAAATATTTAAAATTCCCTTTCAAGTCAAAACGCCACAAGAAATTAACATTTTTACATTCAAATCCAAAACCTCAAGTTGTAGCTGTTCTCTGCTCTAGTGTTTCTTTAAATAAAATGTTTCAAAATAAAGTGCATTGCACTTCAGAAAATATAATATGACTTCTCTAGTGGGTTTTGTATTTGTTAGATGGAGAACACTTCTTTCAGTATTGATGTTACTATCAAAATATGTTGTCAAAAAGATATCAAGCTGAAATCTGTCAGAACAAGAGGATTTCAGAGTTGCTGAAACACACTCATCATTTCCTTCTTCATAATTTAGCTCATTCTCCCAAAGTGACCTTCTAGTTAGTCCACAGCTGGCAGCACCAAAGGATATTCACTCAGAATGTGCTGATTCAACCTTATGAAACTCAACTTGAGAATTCAGAAAAAAATACGAAAGCAAAAGATTTGATTGAAAAAAAGTTTAAATTTCATCTGCTCTGAATTATTTTTTCCAAGTTGGTCAAAAGCCATTCTCTGTAAAGAACCTGTCCTTAATACTGGGTTTCCTCACTTCTGGATTTTCTCAGCTCCCTTTGCTCTAGTGCAAGGAGGTGCTTCATAATCTACAATATATACACTTGCAGTATTTCCCTTTGGAATATGGATCACAGGCATTAATTTGGATCAACAGATAAGACAAGGCAATATCTCTAGAATCATTAATAATAAATATTCTCAAAAAAAATGTTTCCTGAGGCATAAAACAAACACATGAAGAAAATGAAAGTGACATTGACATAAACAATTGTGTCTTAGATTTGTGTTACAATAGTAACCTAAGGCAAAACCTAAACATTTACAGAAATAGTTTGGATTCTACCTCTTTTCTCAGCAAAAAAAAAGCTGCAGACATAGCCCATCTGCCATCTATGAAATATAGTCTGTTATAAAGCATTAATCACACTAATTCTGGGAACTGCTCAATGTTATTCTTAAAGAGATCTCTTCACAATTGATCACAACCTTTTTTCTTTTTTTCCTTGGACTATCTTCTCACTTTTCTTGCAAAGAATTCTTGAGAATTACTCTCCTCCTTTAAACACAAGCCAAATTCAATTCAAATGTTGTCAGAAAAACATTACAAAACTGGTGATTTGGGATTCCATGTTTATTACTGCTCAGTAGCTTCCATATTGAATATACTCTGTGTACAAATCAAAGGATGTTGTTTGTTTTTCCTAGCTGCTATCTGTGAAAGCTTATCCTGGGATCTGCTAATTAAGCTTTTCTGTGTCTATGACCTATACTACCATCATCAGTAGTGATCTCAGTATTCCAAAGTTTGTTCTGGTTTTTGATGAAGAGATGCAAGAAAGCTAAGATACAACATGTTCACCTGTCCTTTTAAAATGAAAACTTTTATTAAGTGAATTCCAGGAGTATGCTATTGCTATGGTCATATGGAGGTATAAATGCTCAAAGCACAGATTTTTCATTTCTTTTGAATTATGTGATTTTTGAAAGTGTTAGAGAGAGAATAGCAGATAAGATGGGTGTCTATTTTGTCAACCCTTACTTTCCTCTGAGCAAACCACATGCATGCCAGCCTGCAAAAAGAACTGGAAAGGCATCTATACTTTTTAAAGATCAGTCGATTTAAACCATGCATCTAAATGTGTAGAGCAGTCAAGATCAAGAAAGAGTGATTGAAAAAGGTTGTGGATTTGCAGGAGCATTTTGTTTGATTTAAACAGCCCTTATGATCCTTCTCGTTCTTTCTTCTTCATCATCCCCTCAGTGTGACTGTGGCACAGCAGCAGGCTGTGAGCTGGATCAGGGAACTGATGCAAACTTACAAAGAAACAAGCTGAGAAGGGTAGTAGATGGTGAGAAAAAAATAAAAGGTAGATAGGGGCTGTTTAGGCAAGCAAAACTGCCAGAAGAGATGCTCATTAAAGCTTGGTTTGACTGATTGACAGTTGATTAGGGGTTTCCAAGGTTGTGAATTTTTACATATATATACCTATTTCCCTTTGTAATTCTAGCTGTAACTGAGTAAATCACTTCTGAGCTCCGCATTCTCCTAGGTTATTAATTTCATTATTAATTTCTCTTAGGTTATTAAATTCTTTAATGTTATGTAGCATTCTTAGTTGGAGAAGTTTTAGAGTGACAGCTGTGTTTTGGATTTTGTGTTAATGAATTAAATTATTAAGCCATTTAAATGGATATTTTTAAAATATTGTGTGCAACAAATTGGACAAAAAAAGGAGACCTTATGTCAACATAATGTTTTAAAGTTGAAATCTAATAACTGGCTTTTTTTAATATGAATTGTGCAGTGTCCTTGCTCTGACAAATCTGTGCTGACTGATTACTGCTTTACTAAGGTGAGAGTGGATTATTAAAAATTCAATTTAAAAAAACCACAGATATTTGCCTTTTAGAAGTCCATTACATAAGAAAGAAAGAAAAGTTGGAGGGGGAAGTACTGAGAAATAATGCAAGAGAATGAAGTAAAACCACTAAATAAAAATGAGACCGAAGGAGAAAAAGTGCTAAAAGAGAGAATGGGATAATTACAAGGGTATAAACAGCACTAAAATATTGTAAATGAATCTTTTGTAATTAAAAATGCATGTAATAATTGCAAATAAAATCTAAAAAAATTTAAATATTATGTAGATACTCAGACAGATGCTTCTGGATTCTCTTCCTGTTCTTCTCAAATATAATCAGCATTCTGCCTTGGCGTTTCAGTGCCGACATGACCAACATAATAATGCTGAGAAGAGATGGAAAATTATTTTCTTGAGGGAAATTCAAACTTCTTTGTGTGTAGGTTGGTGTTTGTATGTGGCTCATTCATTACACTGGAGAAGTAGGTGTGGACCTCCAGGAGATATCACCCAAAAAAGAACAATTTTTGTTGCAAGATGTGCTCTGGGAAGATCAATACAAGTCTTTCTTGAAAGCCTTTCATTAATGATAGTTCATATAATTTCTGGTTCTGAGGTAATATCTTGTTTTCCTATTCCGCATTTGGAAAGAATGAGAAACACATACTGAGTCTAAATCTAAAGCCAGATTTCGATTAAGAATTGCATTAGGGACAAGAGTAGCATCATCTTCTCTGTTTCTGTTTACAAGGATACTTGGGAGTAGCTTGGTCATGAACTTCCTGTCAAATGTGACCCTAAATTACTACAAGAGTATGTATCAGCGTTATCTGTGCAAATGCATAGTTGTGCTCCCTCTGGAGTTTTGCCTTTGTACCAATAAACCAGACTTACTTAGAGCTGTTGGCTCTGGTCCACCATTTCCTTGCTAAATGTTTAGAATTTGCAAGTGTTGTGACCCTTTTGCCAATGCAAGTAATCCTAATTCCAGCAATTTACACTTGTCACTTTGCTTTAAACTCCATTACTGAACACTGAAATTCTACACAAAATGGCTTGGAGACCATTTAACAAATAACAAATTGGAGATAGAGGGATTTTGTCCCTTATGTCACAATTAATTATTTATTGGGATTTTGGTTTTGTGTTGCAGAGTTGTGACCTGGGCCAGCAGAGTATCGTTCATATTGTTCAGAGTCCACAGAAGAGCAGTCAGAACAAAGATGAGACAGAAGATAACCATGCTGGAGGTATTCTAAAGACCTTGGAAAGAGAACCTGAAAGTCTAACTCGTGTAGATCTCAGCACCAGCATCCTCCCGTCACTCTCTGCAGGGCTGGCTGTTATTCTGGATACTACAAAAAACAGCATTTCTCTTCCCTCTGAAAAATCAGGTAAATCAGTGATTTGGTACATTTCAACGCACAGACCTGAACAATTTTCTGTTTCTTTCTTGGGATGAGTGGTTCTGTACCACAGGAAAAAACCCCAACATATGTCTTTTTTCATTTGTTAAAAAAAAATACAACTTTATTCAGAGGTGATAAACATCTGATGTGTTTTCTAGGAAAATATTTTTTCTTAGTGGATAAACTGAGTGATTTCTTGTGTTGTTCCTGTCTCTAGCTTCTATTATGCTAATATTTTTACAAATTATTATAAGCTGACAAAAACCCCAGAGGTCTGTAAGAAGGCAAAAAATAGTCTCTGTAGTATTTCCACAACAGAAGTTCCCTTAACTAGAATGTTGGGCAACTTATGCATTGAAAATTTGTTTAATTCCCAATCTGTTGTAATGTTTTTATATCCATACATTTTATAAAAAAATATTTCTGTACAAAAGTCTTATCTATGAAAACATAGCTGCCACAAAATATGATTATAATTCATACTGTGGATTTTAGTAGTTCTTCATCCACCAAATTATTACTGAGAATATCTTCTCTTCATCAAGAAAAATCATCTGAGGCACAGAATAAGTTACTGCAAATGGGTTGTGCTGTAGTATTTAAAATAGTTCAGAAGAAAGAAGCTCGTCAGAAGGAAATACAAGAATCCTTTAGCTATTACATGAATCTTCTCAGAGTAACCCCCTCCTCACACACAATCTGGCTAATGCTTGCTGAAAACTGTGCTTGCCTCCCTGTGTTCTGTGCAATGCCACAGTCTGAGTTCTGATTTATTTTAATTGTCTATCGGAGATATCTTTTTAGAAAGAACAGTACACAAATACTCTTTTTACTACAATGTGGAAGATAATACCAAACATATAGGTCCAGAGTAGAGAATATACTTTGTGAATATGACAGAGATACCTCTGTGACTAACCTGAGCACAGAAATCATCCCGCTTAACATAACAGCTACTGAAACTGTTGAACTAACTTCTAGAGAATTTCTTAAGTAACTCATGCAGAAAATAAACAATTCATGGGAGGGTCACAGAAGTATTCCACAACTGACTTGATCAACCTCTCACTGCCAGCTAATGATGAATGAGCGCAGTTTAGGAACAAATTAGTACCCAGCTTAATGATCCACATCTCCCAATCTGAATGAATAATGAGATAAGAGGGGTGCATGCCCATTTAAATCTGGTAAATTTAGGGACAGGGTTTCAAGCTGGGCTTACAGTCAAAAGCAAGGCAATGGGGTAAGCTGCTTTTTTTTTACTACTGTACCTAATATGTACAGGGCTTTATTAGTTGTGCTGGAATTTACAGGAGAGTTTATACATATGTAAGGCCTTTTAAAATTTGTCAAGTGGTGTGCAGTTGAACTCAATGACCTTCAAGTTCTTTCCCAACCTAAATGATTCTCTGATTAGGTGTCATCATCACTACTTTTTCTTTACAATGTTTAAATATTGCTCATCTGGCCTGTTCTCTAGAATATCCTGGTGTTCTTTAGCTAGCCTTTTAAAAATGCTTGCATGCAAGTCTTCTGTGTCTCCTAATCTTTCTCTGTTCCTCTTTTCACAGAAGAGTAAATAAGGTACTGGTATATAAAGGTACCGCTATAGGTACCTATATACACAGCTTAGGTGTGCCAAGTTGTAAGTTTGAGCAAAAAGAGGGATTGATTCTTTTCCACCTAGTTAGGAAATGCTTTACCAAAACTTCATATGGGGTAAAACCCTCTGTCCTTACAAATGACACAAAAATTAGTTAAGAGCAGGTAAAACTGTCATTAGCAAAACCTCAGTATTGCCTGTGAATAAGAGCATAAAGTGATGAGCTAGTTCCCAGTCTGTGTAAAAGTCTGATGTATGAGAGACACAGATAAAAACATTTAGAAGGGAAAGCCACAGTTTAGGGTTTGGGTAGTCAGAACTGTGCATACTTCCAACAGAAGCTCTGATGGGATGAAAAAAATGTATCACTTCAGCAGGGGATATTGCAGACATGGCACAAATACTTTTTTGAATGGTATACTGTTGATTGTGTGTTGAAAAAACTCCTGTCCTCTCTCACTGATCCTATATTTTATTATGATTTTTTAACCAAAAAGCCTAAAAGGGTAAGAATATCTGTGTCAGGTTTGTTTGAAGTAAATAAGTAGTTTAAGCTCCTGAAGTATTTTAAAATTACTTCACAGTTTTATAAAACTTTATAACATCTAATTAGTTCCAGATAGGGCAATGGTATGCTGCACATCTCTTCCTCCCCATTTTAATGTGGTGTTGGGCTGAGTAACCTTACCCAGTACCAAGCTGAGTACAACTGCAGCTTTTTCTTATCCCCTTTTTGAGAATGCCGTCAAAACATGAGCACTGATCCATCCAAAACAGCCTCCAGCGCTGCAAGAACATCTCCATTGATGCTCTGAGACATGAAGCTCTGTAAGTGCTCAGCAGCTGCACTAGACAAAACTATTACAAATGCAGCAATGAACTTATTTTCTCATGACCTGATTTGCTTCACTGTGTCACAAAACTAACTATCTAAGAAGTTACTGTTCACTTAGAAAAGGGAATTTCTCTCCTGTCATTTAGCTGCATTTTTACATGGGAAATTAATAAGTATAAAGATTTTTTTTCCCTTGTCATCTGTACAAATCATTTGGTGATTAATTATAAAAAATTAATTAATTAAATATACTTTTGGTCCACGGTATTTTAAATCAATATTTTGAGGAGGAGAAATCGGTAGTCTGTGCAATTTGCATTTAGTAATTAGGTCTTTTTTCCCAGAGTTATCAAAATTTTCTTCTAAGAATAAATGATCAAGAGTGCTTACACTGACCTTTCCTAAATTTCTTGAAATATTAATACACCATTGAATGGTGGTTACATGGTTCTTATGGTAGTTCTCTTGTCAGACATTAATCCAAATAAGATTCATATAGCTGTACAAGAAAAAGTAATAAATTATCTAATTTGCAACCAATGTATTGTTTCACTAAACACATTCAAGTAACTAGATAGTTTACCGTGCTACTTTTTGATTTGGTGAACTGACAGTTTACTTTTGTATTAGGATTAAACCACTTTTAATGTAAATGAGAATGTATTATGCAGCACATGGTGATTTAGTCTACATTTGATTCAGAGATTTTAAAATACTTTTAAATATTAAATGCAAAATCAATTTTAGGATCAATCTACATTTAGAAAAGGGAAGGAACTAATGTATTTTTGTAGAAAAACAGAACAAAGTACCAACTCAGCGATAATATACTAGTCCTGATTTTGGCAAACACATTCTGGGCAGCATGGCTGCACTTGTCTTCATTACACATTGTGTAAGTGTACTGTATTCTATGTTTGACAATTTTGTTTTAAACTTTGGAACACTTTATAAAATTCCTGCATTAACAACGCACTTTGTGCTAATAGTTAGTTCCTGTACATTGTTAATCATTATTCCTATGCATTCATTACATATACAAAACTTTTAGACTTTAGCTGTTAGATTTTTTATCCTAAATTTTCTGTGAGTGTACAATACCACAGAGCTCATGTCATGTAGGTCACACTGATGCCTTATAGTCACAGGAATCAAGTTGATAAAGCCTGGTTTCTCTTTGACAAGAGAAACTGAAACAAAAGCAGACTTGTCTTCCTTCCTCTCCACCTTTCCATTTCTTGTTTGATATTTTTTACTACTTGCCCCCATACCAAAATGGAATCTCCTCTGCTTACCTTGATTTTGGTTTTGCCAGCTCGCAGTCATTGGGTGTTCCATACCTGCAAGATGTTCTGCCCATTTGTAGTTCCTTGTGCTTGTTTTGTTTTGTTTTACAACCTTTTCTCACTTGGATGTCTCCTGTGTGCGACTACACACATCTTTGTCCCTTGGGTGGTCACATTGTTCACACACTTAATGCAAAATGCTTACACGTTTTACCTGACTAGGTCATCACAGCGTTACAATATGCTTTTCAGAGGTAAACATGTTTTAAGTATGCTTACCTGAGGTCTGAAAATCCTGATGTGTACTACAAGATTATGACCATAACATTTATATATAGTATGATGAGATTACATTTAATCTTGAATCAATTCTGCTAAGTATTTCCTATGTGTTTCCTATGAGAATTTCTTTAAAGTTTTAAATGAGTTTGCAAGCTGATTGGTACATATTGTATTCCAAAAGTTCTCAAACTGTGATCCATGTTTGAAGCTCTGAGATCCAGAAGGATATTGATCCACTGAGATACTACTCACAGACCTCTAGCTCCACTTACTTGTTTTCAACTGCTAAAATACATGTAATCGTATATGGTAAATTATCCCTCTTGATTAGTTGCTGTAGCTCCTTGGATTATGCTGTAAGAGTAGGTTTGGAGGTAGGGGAAGGCATGTTCATAAGAAAATGCTTCCTGTTAAAAGTTATTCATAATATGGTAATGTTTCTGAAACAATGCTCTATTTTTTAATGCCCAGCATAAAAGAGGTTTTCTGGATACAAGTCACACCTCGGACACAAAAGAGCTATTATACAAGATCAAACCAATTGTCTATCTAAATATAGTTCTCTTCCTCTTTTAATACTTACCTGTTTTGTATCCAATACTTCAAAAGAAAGAAAAGATTCTTATTATATAATGTTATATTTAGAGAAGAAGAATTTCTTTTGCAAGTAATCACCTCTGTCTGATTATCCTTCATGTCTGCTACCTGGCTAAGTTGACAGGAATGATAATGGCATTCTTTAATGTGACCTTCATTGAAATAGCACTTCCTAAACAGTTTCCAGTGTCATTTCAAGGGTAAATTGGAGAACAGAGGGAGAGTTTTCAGCTTACCTATTAACTATTTCTAATTCTGTCAAAATCTCTTCTGAAATGAGTAGGCTTAAGAAAAATATTCTGGCTATTCTGTTTCCAGTAGGGTTATGAAAATTTGTCATTACAAAGTCCTTGGAAGTTTGCTCTTATGTATATTGTATCTT